GCCCATGGGTATGTGAGGTGAGACACTATCTATAAGTCAGTGTGGCCATGGATGCCAGTGTATGCTGTGAGTATGTAACTGGGAATGTGTACTGGCAAGTGGGAAGTAAGTCAGCGTGGCCATGGGTGCCAGTGTATGCTGTGAGTGTGTAACTGGGAATGTGTACTGGCAAGTGGGAAATCTGCATGTTCATTTAGGACAGCTGTGTGTGTGTAAAGGGTATACATGTGAATGTAACATGTGTGTATAATGGATTTACATCTGTGCAACTTACCTGAGAATCAATCTATTCATGTTTTATTCATTTTTAAAATTGTTTTTAATTGCCAGAGGACAAGCATACTCACCAGAGAGACAGAGAGAGGGAGAGTGGGAAAGCACTCCCCCCAATGGGGCATAGTCATGCTGCAATCCCTTCTTCTCCATTCTCCCATCCTGTTAGGATTTGGGGCATGCACACAGAGGGGCCAACCTGATGTAAGAACATTTGAACTATGCAGGGTACATACATGTGAGTGCAAACCCCTGTAGTCCCCTTGAGAACAGAGACTTTGTGCTGCTCAGATACTCCCCAGCACTGGGGATATAAGCACCTGGTCTGGCATATAGCAGGTGCTCAGTAAGTGTGTACTGGTCAGATGGATAAACTAGGCTGCGTTCAACCTATGAGGCCATTTATTTTGTGTGCCTCATTATGTTGTGTGTGAGTGTGTACATCCATCCATCATTGTGCTTGTGCACATGTGCATGCTTGCATGTGTGTGTCTGAATATTTGTGAACAAATTCCTCTTAATTTAGTGTAAACAAAATACAGGACAAAAGTGCCTATAGGGACCTTAAGACAAACTTTTGCCTATAAATTTCTAGCTCTACCTAAACGTTAGGATTTTATGTATCAAATACAAATTTAAGCCAACTCTGTACACCCAGACAGAGGACTTAGAAACCAACACCCAATATTCACCAACATAATAGATCCATACTTTATGGCCGTGTGTCACCATTCAGTGGTGAGCATATAGTAATTCTATAATAAATAGCTGGGCCCTCTCATACTAGTGGGCCTAAGTGGGCTCATGAGAGATACACCTTTTTTCCATTTATAAAAATACAATTGCAGTAGCCTAACAATAAAGCCCATGCCCTCTCTTAGGGTATGGAGCACACATTAGGACAAAAGATACTTGAGAACTGCTACAATGATTAACACAACTGTGTGCTCCCACTTAGAGTACTGAGCAAACAGTAGGCTCATATCAACCCACCCACACAGTTACTGAGCACACAGTAGGTCTACAACAGGTTGCCTTTGCAGAGGAAACTATAGAGTTGACCCTCATCTATGCCTTTACACCTTTATGGGGCTCAGTTGATAGTAGGATGCTTATACATTCATAATGTTGAGTGCTCAGTAGGTCTATATAAGTGCCCCTGTCTCTCATTTAACACAGAGCACCCAGTAGGCTTACAATGGATGTCTGTACCTCTTTAGTGGTACCCACAAAATCCAAAATAAGTGCCCTTAGTCCCTTTTATAGTGCTGAGCACACAGTAGGCCACACTAGCCCCCAGAGGCCTGGGTTGGCCCAGGTCCCCACAGCTGCAGGAGGGACAGGTACCAGACTCTTGCTCTTGGTCATGTTCTCCAGCTCACTGTGCATGCTCTCCAGGTCTGCCGTCAGTGCCTTCTGGGTCTTCAGGGCATCCTCACACTTGGCTTCACTCTGTTCCAACTGAACCATGCAGGAAGTTGAGAAGAAAAGAGAAGAGGCCTCGTGAGGCTAACTCTGCGAACATCCTCCAGCCCCGCCAGCCTCTCTCAGATGGCAGAATAATTTACAGATGACTCTCATGTCTTCATGACTATTCACCAACCCACAAATGGGGAGAAGTACACGTATTTGCATTCGAGGCATCCAGGTTCTAAGCCTACCCAAAGTTTAACAACCACAGCCCCATGAAACAGAGCCAGGCCACCCTTGATTCAGTACCAAGAGCTGTTCTCCAGTCCCCATTCAGTGGTGAGTACATGGTAGTACCATCATAAATGGCTAAATCTCCTTATAACAGGGATCTTAAATGGTGCCATTAGAGATGCCCTTGTCTCTCCTATAGGAATAGAAATGCAATAGCTCAACGTAAGGCCCAAGCCCCCTCTTATGGTGGTGAGCACATAGTGGGACTACAACAGATGCCTGAGAATCACTTACAATGGTGAGCAATAAACAGTCATTAAATACTTGCTAGCACCCATTCAGTGCTAGACAGGGCATGCAGGAAAGAGCTGATATCTGTCCTCCCAGGCAAGGACAACCTCTCTGAAGAGTACAGAGTAAGAGTAGGGGGGACAGGTCACTGAGACAGTAACAACACAGGATGGCAGTAAGGCAAGCTTCCTGGAGGAGGTGCCCTGAAGGTCAGTGAGAATCTTCCAAGTAGAAGTGTCTGTGAACCCTTGTTTATTGGGCCATCAGGAAAGGCATGGTGGGTTTTTGCATAGAAAACCACGCCATGATTTTCCCAATGACTTAATCTAATGTAGCAAAATAGGCTGCATGTGAGCACTTTCCTGGATTCACAGCTTTCAGTAGATTCTTGAAGGGTAAGAGCCATAACATAAATAAAGCTCTTTCTCACCCTTTTCTTTCTCATCCTTTCATTCCCCTGCAAACAGTAGACATCCCAGTCTAACAAAGCAGAACCATCAAGATAGGTAAAATTATGTATGTGTAAATGAGGGGCTCCACTGACCAATTACGAAAATTGAGGTCCAGCCTTGTAAAATAAATAGAGTTGCAGTGCTGGAAGCCATATAGCCAACCATGGGTTCAGATCTTCAGGTCACCCTGAAAACACACTGGGTGCATTGTGCATGCCCAGGGTTGTAACAAACTGAATGTCAGGGGTGTCTCTCTCTTTCTCTCTCTCCCTTTCTCTCTCTCTCTTTCTCTCTCTCATATGATCATGTCCTATTATGAATGAAATAAATAAACTTCAATAAAAAAATTTGGGCCAAAGCAGAGGCTGTTCAAAGATAATCAAGCGAAGAATGGAGGTCCTTTGTGGGTACAGCCCTCCTGGGAACATCTTCATTTCCTTCCAAACTAGTCAGAGAATGTCTTCCTCAGAGTGGAAAGAGGCCACTGTGAGAAGGTTTAAGAGGAAGAATGTATTATTCACAATTGCTAAGACATGAAATCAAACCAAATGTCCAAGAACAGATGAATGGATTGAAAGGTGTGGCACATATACACTATGGAATACTACTCAGCCATAAAACCAATGAGACCCTGGAATTTGATAGAAAGTGAATGAATTTGGAAGATTGAATACTAAGCAAAGCAATCCAGATTATGAAAGAGAGGCATTGTATGTCCCCACTTAACATATACCGAATGTCCACACTCTGGCAGAAATTGAAAGACTGGAAGGCATAAAAGCACAGATAGCAACCATCAACACCAGAGACAGTTTGGGAACAGGATGGGAAATGGGGGAAGAGGTGGGAAGGGAATCAAGGTGGTGGGGGAATAAATAAATAAATGAATTTATTTTTAAAAAGTGCCCTGGACAGAGGCAACATCAAGTACAAAGGCCCTGAGGCAGAGACAGGAATACACGTGGTGTCGAGAAACAGAAAGATTACCAGTTCTACCAGACAGCTGTACAGAGAGGGAGAGAAGGAGGTGAGGCTGAAGAGGTAGACGAGGATCACATTAGTGAGACAGAGGAGGGCTGCGAAGTTTAAATGCTATTTCAGCCTATAGAAAGGCCACTGATGGTGTCTAAGGAGGTGGGTGATTTCTCTCTGGTTGTCATGGGGAGGATGGACTTTGATGGGACAAGATCAGAAACAGAGTGAGTAGTGAGGACGCTGCTGTGGTCCTCTAGCTCAGAGGCAGTGAAGGTGCTCCAGCTAGGCTGCAAGGGGTAGAAGTGGGGAGGAAAATGGAAGGTCCTGCATGTGAGGCTTACAAAGGATGAATGGTATGGGCAGGCAGGAGCAGATGGGCTGTTATGGGAGATGATGTCAGATAAATAATGGGGGAGCAGGAGGCATCATGCAGGGCCCTGCTGCCAGCCCAGGGAGCTTGGCCTAGAGCAGGAGGCAGCAGGAGCCATCGAAAGTAACACGGCAGGGCAGAGCAGAATGTGAGGACAGCATCTCCCATCTGCCGAGTCCCTCCTTCGTCTGAGGCTTCATCAGAGCCACCAGGAAAGGAGCTCTATTTTCATCGCCACTGGTGCTCGGTGTAAGGTCCAGAAGTGCTCCTTCTTCCCTTCTCTCCTCAGACCAAGCAAAGACAGGAGTGACTCATCCCAGGCAGAGATGAGCACAGAGGGCGTCCAGCCCATGGGAGTAGCTGCTGGTGTTCCCCTTAGCTCGCACTGGGTAGGAGACAGGATTTTCTTGCAACGGTTTTGGCATTATCAGCCACACCTGCTACTGTTGCTTGGGGACCATTTCCAGTGCACTGGGCTTTCCCTGCCTTGCCTCATAAGACAACACCTCCAAGAGAAGGGTGCCACCACTGGGACCCTTTGTAAGGGAGGACCCTGAGGCTTACAGAGGGGCAGTGACTTACCCAGTCACATAGCTGGCCAGGTGATCCAGTTCCAGAGCCCAAGCTCCTAACCTGAGCTCCACTGCCCCTTGTACAAAGCCACTCACTGGGAAGTCTGACCACATAGTAGGATGGGAGAGCTCCACGCAGAGAGAACACAGCTCAGTCATTAGGGGCTAATATGGAAGCCACTTTGGAGCGTCACGAGGGCCTGGAGTAGGTTGGGATTCATAGGAAGACAACTCAGGGCTTGAAAAAATGTGATAGCAATGACACATCCCTCTTGAAGGAGACATCCGCCAGCCCTGCAGCCTTCCAGAGGTGACCAAGTTCATCCCAAAAGAGAAAGGAAGTCACCTTTACCAAGGCTAAGTGTGGGATTTCGTCGTGTGTATGGCTCAGGGCTTTGGGCACTGGAACCAGACCTGGGGGAGCTGCCCCTCCTAGCAAATTGAGAGAAGACTGCATCTTGTTACGGCTCTGTTTCCTCATCTGTACAATGGGTATAATGACATCACAGGACCCACACAGCAAAAGTGAGTGAAAACATGCAAAGCGCTTGGCTCAGTATCTGCCTTGGGAAGGCATTACAGGATGTCCTCTGTGAGCCCCAGAACCACCTTACAAGTGTTTTTTTCTTTTTCTTTTTTTTCTTTTAAGTTGCCAGCAGGCATGTACACTCACTGGGGATTAAGGGATGGGGGGGGGGAGAAAAAGCACTTCCCATAGAGAATGGTCATACCATTGCCCCGTCTCCACCTCGCCATCCTGTTAGGATTTGGGCACCCCCCCCATACACATGCAGCTGGTATGTTTCTCAAGCTGCCAGGTCCAGGACTAGAACTGTGCAGTGGGCCATGTGGGATCCAGATGCCTTAACCACCAGGCCATAAGTTAGCCCAAAAAGTGGAATTTTTTACCCCATTTTAAACATGAAGAAAATGAAGCAGAAGCCAAAAGCACTGCTCAAAATCACATGGCCGGGATGGGCAGGGCCTTGATCCCAACAATCTTAAGGAGGGATATTAGACTTTCTGGCCAACTGGGATGGGAGAGAGTGGTCGCTCACCCCAGAAGCATACGAGTCAAGCAGGCCTAGATTTTTAATAGGATCCGGATGGGCGAGAACAGACATTCCCCACCTCAAGGCCTCCACTGGGCAGGCTCCGAGCTGTGGCTGACAAGCCATCTTAATGCCGAGCTTTAAAAGTTTCAATTTATTACACTTTAGGGAACGGTAAGAAATACGAAGCTATCTCGGGCTTATTTTCCATTATGGATGACCTGGCGTGAGAATAACTCAGTGCACGTTATTTCCATATCGAGGCTGTTTGACTGATGTTTTTATGAAGTCAGGTGGCAAGTCGTGTTAAGGCCGAGATCAGATCCTTCACTGTGCGACACCAGCCCAACGCTGCTTTGAAAATGCGTTTCCCCAGAGGAGCTCCAGGCAGGGCGGAGAACAGAGGGGGACGGAGGCAGCTGGGTGACAAGCGACTCTTTGAGAAGGGTTATTGGCGTCCATTCTCCAGTCCTGGCAGTGTGACAAAAAGGATGTGAGGTGACAGCTGACACTTCACACATTTCAGCTCCATCATGTCACCGTGGATAAGGCCCCTTGGGCTCATACTGAGCAGAGTGGGGAGGTGTAGGGTAAGATGAACTGCCTATGATTTTCATCTCTCCCCCAACCTAGTGTGGGGCTGGACCCACAAATACACCCTCAGCAACACAATGGATTTGATTTCAGTTTTTCCAAATTTTTCATTTTGTGAAATCAATACAATAACGGCACCATTATTTGGATCCAAAGCCCCCAAACACCCTCAATAGCTACAAAATGCACCTCTCCCTTGCACACACTCAGTCATTCTATTGTGTACTAATGAAATCCATCAGTCTTTCTCAGATCTGCTCAAATTCTGGACGGCAGGCATAGAAGGAGGGCTTGCTGTCATCCCAGTATCTGGAGGCATTGCCCTCCCTCTGTGAAATGGGTATGCGTCCATTCCAGTCCTCCCCGCGCTAGACTTACAGATGGGAACGTACTTTCTGACTTCCTCATCAATTCAGCATTGCTAAGCTTTGGTCTGGCAATGTATAGTGAGGCCTTGACCCCTCTACTATCATGGGAGGATGCAGAAGCTCCTTAAGGCCTGAAGTTCTCAGGGGCAAGATGAGAAGAGCACTGTCTAGGGACAGAGGATGGGAAGGAGGAGGAGTTTGCATTCTCTCAACCTGGCCTCCTCATCTACCATGAGGAGGGCCTTTTGACATCACCCAGCATCCCACGGGGATTAGAAACAGACCCAGAGGTCTGCAGAATTCGATTCCGGCCCCGGCTCCTCCACCTATGAGCCTATGATCTTGAGAAGGTTATGCAGCTTCTCTGGGCTTTGATTTGCCTCATCCACAAAAGGGGGACCCAGGGTTCTCATTCACTGAGCAGGTCTGTTGAGTCCAGCTGTACTGGCTGTGTACTGTACAGGCCTAGGAGACGCCAGGCACAGAGACTATAAGGATGGGCTCTTTCTCTGGTCCAGGTACTGCTCAGAAAGCTTTTTATGTATTTACTTATTTAACTTTCACAGCACCCTGAGGTAGGGTCAATTATCAATCCTGTTGTGATACTGGAGGAAACTGAAGAATGGAGAGGTCGAGGGGCTTACTAAAGATCACACAGGCACTAGGTGGCAGAGTGGATATGAACCTAGGTGGTCTGGCCACCACCTTCCCAACTGTGCCATTACACTGCATTCCCTCTGTACCAGTGTCTCCCCACAGGTGCTCTGCAGGGGAATTCTAGCATCACACCTGCCCAGCATCCACCCCATCTTCTCCAACCCTCATGTGCCCCTGATGGTGCCACCACCACCCCTTCTAGCCCACAATAGGGCATGTGACCCAGGTTGGCCAATCAGAATATCACTTTCAGTTGGCCATAGTGACTGTGAGTCATCATAACACGGCCAGTGTCTGGATTTTTTCAGGGACTATGGAAACAAAGTTTACTCTTCCTAAAGCAGGATGCAAGCTTGGAATGTCTAGGGACCTTCTTCCCGCCAAGAAGACAGAGCTTGTCTAAAAAGACAAGCCAACCTTGAGGGAGCTGAGCCAAGGAGTGGCTGGAAATGTGCGATGATTGATGTGGTTGGAGCAGCTAGATTCCACCGAGCCTGAAAGCAGCCCTAACCTCAGTTCTTTTCCTATCTTTTGACCAGTAACTTCCTTTTTTATTCTACTCGAGCCAATCTGAGCCAAGTTGCTACCACCCTAAATCCAGATACAGGATGAGCGAGTGAGTTAAAGGAGATGACATTAGCCACAGAGTAAACACAAGGCCATCAGTGATAGTGCCTACCGAAAAGTTAGATCAAAGTAGCTCCATCCGAAAAACCCTGTGATAGAATAACAATCGTTCATTGTTTACCTACCCTGTACGGAGATCATTACCCATAGGGGGATAAATATTCCCTCTTTTGGATTGCTCAATGGGGGGCAAAGGAGGAGAGGAGATTTTTTTCAATGCTCACTGTATCAGGCACTGTGTGGGCCACTTGATATTCATAAGCGCCAGAGCCCACAGGAGCCCTGCAAGCAAGATATCAGCCCTCATCCTTTTACAAATGAGAAGACTGCAGCCTCCAGAGGAAGAGGGACTTGCCCAAGGTCAGACTCGAGTCCAAGTCGGTGAGACTCGAAACTGATGCTATTCCTAGGCAGTCACATGGCCTCTGTGTGCACAAGTCTCTATTGATGAGTTCATCTCAGGCGTCCTCTCCTCCACACCCATCTCTGTTTCATTCAGTGTGAGGGCGATTGAGATTCCCATCACATATACATCAACCACAGAACCGATGAATAGCATTACTTTTCTATGCGAGCCCATCTGCCTGCTTTAAATACCTGGGTAAAATGTTTGCTTTGGACTTAGTACGCGATGAGATGACTTGGCTAGACGTATGGAATGAGGTTGGGAGAGGAAAAATTCTGATATTTCAGGAGAGCGCTTAGAACCCAGATTTCTGGGCCTGGTTGAATAACTCAGGGGATTTAAAATGACAGCATCGCGAATGCCATGGGGAACGCGGTCTGTTTAAGAAACGGTGTCTTTGGCAGGCTAATCTTAACACGTTCTGGGCCTTGATCTCCCACTGGGACACTCAGAAGAACTAACCTTCAACATTAAGGTTTTCCCTGAAGGAAATTACCCACAGCTCAAACTATACACAGTCCTGACATCAAACACAATGGTTAAATCCAAACATAGTTAAGGTGTTAGTCCAGGTCCCGCCGAAGATGTGTGAGATTCAAAATTCTGAAGCCATGGCCCCAAGGGGGAAATTCCCTAAGACTGTATGGCAGTCACCCTCTCTGCCCTGGATCTCAAACTAGGCAGGCATATAGTAAACATCCCATGATTCTCGCATTCTGTTAAAAGACCATCATTGGTGGATGCATCATAAGGCCTCCTGAATATTTGCTTTTCCATCTTACTCAGAATAACAATCGTAGTCATAAGTAGAAGGAGAATAATCCTAAGTACCTTCTATCAAGTGCTTACCACGGTACTATGGACTGAATATTGTTCCCCTTGAAAGTCATACATTAAAGCCCTAACTCCCAATCTGATGGTACTTAGAGATGCAGGTTTTGGGAGATAATGAGGTTTAGATGAGGTTGTGAGGGTGGGATTAGTGCCTTTATTTATTTATTTAATCTTTGTTGTTTATTTATTTTTTTATTTTTTTGGGAGAGAGATTTTTGCTATAGAGCACTTGTGCTCATCAGAGAGACAGAGAGAGAGAGACAGAAAGTGAGAAATCATCCCCCACGTGGATGGCCAGACTGCAATCCTTTCTCCTTCATTCTCCTCCTGTGATTTGGGGTATGCATGCACACACACACCTGGCATGAGTTTCAAGCCACCGGGCTTGGGACTCGAACCATGGTTGGCTGTGTGGGAGTCCAGTGCCTCAACCACTTCAAAATCCACTGGTCCCAGATTAGTGCCTTTATAAGAAGAGATACCAGGCAGGTTCCTTCTTGTCTTGTTCCTACCTTGCGAGGCTATGGCCAGAAGGCTGCTATCTGCAAACCAGAAAGAGAGACCTCACCAGACCCAGCCTTGCCCGCACCCTGATCTCAGGCTTCCAGATCCCAGTCCTACAAGAAATAAATGTCTACTGTGGAAGCTCCGCGGTCTATGGGATGATGTTACGGCAGCCTAAGCTGAATTAGACACATGTATAGTTAGTTTATCACATGTAGCATCTCTATGATACAGGGGTTTTCACCTGAATTTTATAGATGAGGAAATCAAGGCCCAGAGAGAGGAGTTAACTAGCCAAGGTCACACAGCTGAGAAATGGTGAAGGAGCAGGGACCTGCCTGAGATCTCTTTCAAATGCACAGCTTGTTCTTGCGAGCCCTGTGGCAAGTGCTCATCACCTACTGGGTAAAGCAGGTTTTCTTTCACTTGTCTTACTTTTGTTTCTTTGAGGAGTCAAGAGCCCCCCTAATTCCTTTTTGTATTATAGGATCTAAGGACTGCTCAATCCTCTATAATAAAAGACTTCAAAAACTTCCTGCCCTCCTCCCCTCAATCCGGGACGATGAATTTGGAACACATAGGTGCTCCAAAGAGAGAGCGGAAAAATAAAATAGAAAAATGGATATAAAAGAGCCTCCCTGTCTCATCATATCATCCAAGACCCCTCTTTTGTTCGATTCTAGCACCCCGTTGTTCCCCTAAACAGCACAGTGACTGTGCCTCCCTGTCTGTTTTCCTCCTGCACAGCCGGCTCCCAGAGGGCCTCAGGGTCTTGCTCAGCTCTGGGTCCCCACACAGTAGGGACTCAATGCACCTGCACTGGGAGACAAAAGCAGTGATAACAGCTCAGCGGTGCCAGCGGGCCCACCCTGGTCAGCCAGGGCATCTGACTCTGAAGCCTGACCGTAACTGCAGCCCCAGATTGGCTGCACGGGGACTGATCAACCCCTCACGAGGCAGCCACTGCCATGCAGGCTCTTCCCAGCCTGTGCCAACACAACCAGCTCACTCCACAGGACAATGAGGGGCGGGGCTGCGGGCAGGACCCTCCCCTGTAGGAGGAAGTGACCTGGATCTGGAGGGTGACCACAGCCTTGTTCATCAAACCCCAGACACCTGAGCTGGTCCCTGTTTTGAGAGTGTGAAGGAAGCACTTGAGGATAGACCAGGGAAGACCTGTGAGTCGGGCACGGGGGATGACCAGACAGGCCAGAGGGTATCCTAATGCTATTTCCTACTTCTTTTGCTAAAAAAGAAAACACGTGTTGAGTGCAAATGCACAGACACACATGCAAGCCTGAAAACCACCAATGTAGCTCAAATCTTCCTCACTTTACAAAAGAAAACTCAGAAGCCCCAGAGATGGAATGATTTAACAGGGACTGGTGGCAAATTGGAGGGAAGGGCTGTGTCCCAAGACCAGCTCTGGGTTGGGACATCAAGGATTCTGCATGGCTAACTGTGATTTGTGTATGAGCCCTAAATCCCAACAGGATGGAGAAATGGAGAAGGGATTGTGGCATGGCCTTGGCCCACTGTGATGTGCATTCTCTCTCTCTCTCTCTCTCTCGTACTCATCCTCTGGCAATTAAAAAAGGAAAGATAAGAAAAGAAAGACTGAGGAAATCTTACATCACAAAAATGGGATGTAAGCAGTTTTGCATCTGGGTTAGATCCTGAATCGGGAGAGAAATTGCTATAAAGGCTGTAAATGGGGCAATTGGCAAAATTAGAATTGTCAGCAGATGAGATCAGGTAACTAAACACTTCTTCAAGGCCAGATAGTAGATATTTTAGATTTGCAGGTCAAGAGGCAAAATCAAATATGCAAGGGGACATCAAACATTTGTGGAGAAGTGGAAATTAAGTATTAGGTCAGGAAAGTCATGACGTACCAAGACATGATGCAAAAATGCATCATGCAAAATGCAAGATTTTTCCAATGATCCAATATTAGTTTTTCTTGGTGCAATTTTTATTTTCTTTTTAGAGGTTTTTGCTTTAGGTAGTGGGTGCTCACTGGAGAAAGAGAAGACAGTGAGAGAGAAATTGAGAAATCAACCCCTAGGGAAGATGACCACACTGCAATTCTTTCTTTTCTATTCTCTTCCTGGGATCCTGGGCATGCATGTACATGTGCTTGGAGTGAGTTTCAAGCCACTGGACCCAGGACTTGAACCGTGGTCAGTCATGTGAGAATCCAGTGCCTCAACTACTATGCCATCTGTGGGCCCAGATGCAAAACAATTTGCATTGAGTTTTAGAGCACCATTCTTTTCATAGTACACACTTCCATACTTTGTGTGCACACGCATGGGCCCACTTCCTCCTATAGGGGAGGGTCTTGCCCACAGTCCTCCCCTCATCCTTGGAGGGTGCCGCCCCACCCAGGGGGTCATAGATGGCTCCAAGTTGCTATCAAGTCAGTTACTATCACCCTCATGGGCCTCTGAGCTGCTGGGGAGCCTGGCCCTCTATGGCTAAGTGGTAAGAGGTCCTTTGGGGGAGACAATGGCACATCTAATCTGGGATGAAACCAGTTTCTTCCCACTTATTCATCATAGCCATGAAAGTGTCAATATTTGTGGGCCAAACAGGCCTGAGATAACCGTGATTTTAACCAATTATAATTTGGTCTTTATCTCCTCTGACAGAAGGTTATGTTAATATTGAATCAATTCACTCCAATATAATCTCTTTTTAAAAAAGAAAAAAAGAAAGAAAGAAAGAAAAAAAAGAAAGTCTCTTCAAATAAAACATGGAGCAAGGCCACCTGTTCTGTGGTTCCTGGATGGGGAAGAATGTTCCCAGGGTGCCAACTCACACAAAAGACTCCCAACAGGGTCATCTTGCCAGAGCTTACTAATTATTTCCAATGTCTGGTGGAAGCCTGGGTGACACATGGTGATAAATGTCCTAATTAAGTGCACTGGGGACGAATCTGGAGTTATCAGTCTTCCGGGCACTAATGAGGGACCTCGAACCATTAGCTAAGTGTGGCTGGGCGTCCACGGTGGGTAAGACCAGGCCTAATTTCCCCACCTGAGTGAACACTGAAGGGGAGCCAGAATCCCCAAGGGGAGGGACCTACAGGAACACTCAGGGGTCTGGGAGAGATGTGATTTCCCAGAGAAAGCAGCAGGAGTATACAATACTGGTTAAACTTTGGGGTGCTGGAGTCAGACTCCTTGAGTTCAAATCCTAGCTCAACTTCTAATTGCCTTTGTAACTTGGGTTATATGTTTTAATGTGTCTACTCATTCCAGTCCCTACCTTTAAGAAGTTAGAAAGAAAATAAGGAAAACAAGGGGGTGATTACAAGAAAAAGATAAATACTAATCCAGAGGTACATTCGGGAGACTGTGAAAAAGAGAAATGGGACCCTCACCCACCTCAGGGAGTCAGAGATGACCCAAGAAAAGATGCCCAAACTCAAGTTCAGGGGATACATAGGCCAAGAGCGGTCTGAGAGATAAAGCCAGAGCCCTGGGGAGGACACAATTCAGGCAAAGGTGAAGAGGTGAGAACATGTGTTGGGGACACCACGCTTGTGGAAGTTGGAGGGTGGAAGCGGGATGGTGTGACCTTGTAGGTCGAGATAAAGGACCTGGGCTTTGGGACGAGCACAGTGGGAAATGACTGGGTCTTCAATACAAATGGCCATGATCATATTTACAGTTTAAAATGCTCTCCCTGAGCAGGTGACAAGAAGATAGCTTGGACAAACTGGAGGTCAGCAGACCCGAGAGACATCAAGTGAGAGATGCAGGTGGTGTGTAGTAAGAACGAGGAGTGAGGTGGGGATGGATTTTAGAGCTATCTGGGAGGTATGAGGACTGGGATGTGGAGACAGCTTTGTTCTTGGCAGGAAGGGGTGAATACAGTCCCCAGCACACATTAAACAAACAGCTAAAGAGTTCAGTGCAAACCCTTCTCTATTTAGCAAAGAGCAAATAACATATTTCCTTTGGGGAAGAGACAAAGGTCAAAGGCATGAATCAAATGAGAGGGAGTGGGGGGGGGAAGGCAAAGCAAAGCAACCACTGCCCTAGAGCAGACATCATTTTCCACTTTCTCCTTGGGGCCAGGTGCCAGCATCTGCTACTCACAGATGTGATTTATGCACAGCGATTATCTCAATTATATATCTAGGTTGTTGGAATTGCTTCTGTCTCCAGATTAGTTTGTTTCCAATGGAAACATTCCATGGGAATTAATTAGTAATTGGCTCACAAACAACAGGTGTCTAGGTGGACCCCACGCCTCGCCTTACCTACCTGTTCCATGAGGTTTCATAAAGTGCCCAGAAACCAATCTTCCATGAGAGAGCCACTGGGGAAGGGGGCACTATATTTTTAAATCTCTCTCCTAAGGTTTTTGATTTAGAGTCCTTTCAAATCCATGGTTTTGTGTTCTTCACACCAACCCAAATGCTTGGTATTATCATGCCCCTTTATTGGGTGATAAACAAAAAAACAAAAAACGAAGTCTATGAAAGGTGGGGTAACTTGTCTAAGATCTTACAGCCAGTTAAGCAGCAGGTCCAGGATTTGAACTCAAAAAGTATACTTCTATATTGTCTCCTTGGGTCCTCCGTTTCAGCAGGAGTCTTAAGCTTCAGATGTTAACTGGAATAGATCCAGGCCTCCCAATGGAGAGAAACAGTGTAGAAAGAGCCAAAGGATTCTTTTAGTATTCTGGATGGCAGGGTGATGGGCAGGAGACAGTGCCTGCCTATATGGAAGGAAGACTTGCTCTCAGGGAACCTCTAAGCTACTGGTAAAGCTGAATGTTTGAATATCTAGGCTCCAGAGTTGTAGCTGGGGACTGGAATCCCACCAGTTGGCATTGACAGCTTTCAAAAGCACATTGCTGTGTGCTATGGGTTAAGTTACTCAACCTCTCAGAGGCTGTTTCCCCATTAGCAGATGGGCCTGAAACAGGAGTACCTGCCTCCTAGAGTTACGGCACACTTATTGTTGTCAATAGAACCTTATCTGCAAGTGTCGTCAATTCCAAGCAGCCCCCGAGTTTCTCCCTTTTCATCATCTCTAGCAATACCCTTCTCACTCAAGTGACTATTTCTAGTGACTTAGAAAGGCGCATAGGTCTCCTAAGGGTACTCCCTCATCCCCTCCACAATCAATTCTCCACCCAAAAGAGCAATTGTCTAAAATATGAATGAGATTCTGTCACGGCTCAGTATCTCCCCCAAAACTTCCACAGACTGGACTGTAAAACACGACACTGGGGCTGACCCACGTGGGAAAGTTCCAGGTTCACATCCAGAAACCTGAGTACTTTAGCCATGGGCGTACCCATGATCTGGGGCTGGCTGCAGCTGGGCAGGGAAGACTGTGGTTTGAGATCCTGTCGGTGGTGCTGTCTCTCTGTCTCTATCACTCTCTCTCTGCTCATGGAATAAATAAATAAATACACACACACACACACCCAGGCCCAGTCTCTGTGGCCCAGTCAGTAACATAATGTATTGTTGGAACTGGAAACCACATGTTGACTGAGATTCAGGTCCCAGGTCCAGTAAGCCTGGAAACATGTGGGGACACACACACTCTTATCATGAACAAAATCTTAAAACAACAACAACCAAAAAAAAAAAAACAAGCCTTGTAGACCTTGTATGTTCTGGTCTCTGGCCGCTTCTCCGTTCCCCAGAGTAGTTCAGCCGACTGCCCAAGTTAAAGGGGATCCTCCCTTGCCTTTCCCTATGCTGACACAATGCTTATTTCCTTTCTCACCCCAATTCAGGTGTGGGATCAGCCCACTTGTTTGTATCATTGTTTGCCTGTCTTCTTTTCCATCAGATGCAAGTGCCAAGAGGGTGAGTACCATGCCTGTCTTACTAACCATCATGTTTCCACCTAGCACTGTAGGTGCTGAGTAAGTGCTCAATGGCTGAATGAATGGGATTGCTCGGCACTGGTCACAGCATGTAGGAAGCAGCCAGTGGCGAAGTCAGCTCTCGCTCCCTTCCCCCTCCTGTCTGCTCGCCCTGCCTCTGTCCCTGGAGCCTGCAGGCCAAGGACGAATACTGTACAGCACAGAGGAGATGCAGCAATGCCCAATGTCATAGCTGCTTCATTTGATTAGTTCCGACTCTGCCATCCGGGACACGTGTGCTGGGAGCCACAGCAACTGTATCCTGACCTCTGGTCCACGCGATCCCATCCTTATAACGATTTCCATGACAACAGCAACGGCAAGCCAAGGCTGTGGATTCCTTTTGATAGGAGCCGGATGCAGAGATGGGGAAGAAGGACTTTCAAAAGAATGAGGCTCTTTGATTCAGCTGAAGGCGCCTTCATTAAATACCACTATTTCCCAAGAGCACACATTTTAACCCTGCAGAGGGAGAATTCTCATGTGCACTAAAAAAAAAAAAAAGGAAAGAAAGAAGCAGCAGCACAACCACTGTGGTTCTTTTCAAGAATATTCACCTGTTGGGGAGGGGCGAGAGAAGGTTTAGTTAGATGCTCAGGCATCAGGAGTGTTTTGAAGGAAGATAGCCAGGCACATGGCCCTCTACCAATGGGGCCGTGTGAACCTGAACTGTCCGGCCCCTGTCCAAGGGCCCAGTCAGTTCTGCCTATCTAAGGTAAGCCCAGAGACTCAAGGGGCCCTACTCAACCTGGTCAGTTGAACAGGCAGGAAGATGCTAGATGAGGCAGAAGAATCCCCAGATCCTTCACTTAGAATCCCAGTCTCTGGATTTGAATCCTGTCTCTGCCACCCACCTGCTGCTGCATTACCTTAGGAAGATGGATTACCTCCTCTGAACAAAATTTCCCATCTGTAAAATGACCACAATACCATCTCTCCTCCCCTGTGGGTTCATGAGGATTGAGTGAGGGGATGTGTTCAAGTACAATCGACCCTGGGTTTCTGATGTGGCTTTGAAGAGAATAGACCGGCTAACTTGGTTTGCCTAGGACTGAGAGTTTACCTAGGATGTTCGACTTTCCAAGGCAACAACCAGGAAAGTTGTTGGAGAAGCCAGGATGGTTGGTTTCCCTAAAAGAATGATTTGGTAAGGGAGACAGCTAAGAATCAGAGAATTCTCAAGGTGGAATTGTCCTTAAGCATCCTCCAGCTAACAACACCTGGATTACATGTTGTTCTTACCCAAAGCCCATAACTGTGGTCTAATCATAAAACCATCAAACAAATTTAGATTAGGGGTGTCCTACAGGATACCTGAGAAAACTGTCAAGGTGCGAAAGAGAGTAAGATTGAGAAACTGTCCCTGACCAAGGAGAATGGACAGACATGATGGCCACGTGCAGCATCATGCCCAGGTGGATTCCAGAACAGGAAGAGGGGATGAATGGAGAAACTATCTGATTTCAGGTGTTGTGCTTCCTTTCTAAAGCCCTCTCCCACCCCAGTTTATGATATAGATATGATAGAAAACATGAGCACATGGACACACAAACGAGAAAGAGAGAAAAGGAAGGACTCTCAACATGGTCTCCCTATGCCAGAATCTCCCTTTTCCAGCCCTCCAGCTTGTCAGAATCTCGGGCATGCGTGCATGTACCTGGTGTGTTTTCAGACCCACTAGGAATACAAATCCACCGTCTGCCACATGGCTTCCAGCACTTCCATTCGGTTTGCTACAGACTGCACTACCAGGCTGGGCCTAGGTTTTGTTTTGTTTTGCTTTGTTTGTTTGTTTATTTGTTTTTAAGTCCTTAGTTAGATTCATAAGTTCTACCTGAAGTTTCATTCTACACATAAAAACTGCCACCAGAGACTAGAAGGTGTAGGTGCCCTGAGATCTCAGCTCCTAGCACCTGGTACAATACTCTGCTGCCTCCCGCTGTCTTCCTTGGGACCTGCTGGCCATCGTGAGTCATTCCTCCAGAAGGAAGAGAGAAGAGCAACAGGTTTGGGGTCAGAAATCATGGGTTCCAGGCCTAGTTCTGTCTGATTGGCTATGTCACCTTGGGCCTCTCTGACCCTCAGTTTCCTCATTGATAACATGAAGGGGAAGAAGCCAATAGATAAATTCAGCAGAATTAGATTTGTTATGTGCAAAGGGCTGGGCAGCTAAAATCAGAGATGAATGAAACAGTTTCTGCCTTCAGGAAGCTTACAGTTTTGTTGAAGAGTCAGTCTAAGAATTGCAGATTACCTGTCTGAGATTTTGGGGGATATTCTTTGAAGAATGTGGCATGGCTGAGATCATATAAGAAACCAAAGAAAGAGAAAGACAGGCTGGCAATATTTCAAGACAGTGAGGCATTGAAGGCACCTGGGCTCAGGGAGAATACCTTATCTAAGGGAGGTGTGTGATTTAGAGGGGAACCTCAAATGCATGAAAACACTCCCAGTAGGGGAAGAGTCTACACCATTCTGGGTATTTGCAGCTCCCCACAGGGACTGGTGGCAAAGCCTAAGCACCTTCCTACAACAACTGGCTCTGGATTTCACACCCCAAGGCTCACACCACCATAAGGAATACACTCACATCTCTCAATGCTGGCCACCCTGGGCTACAATACTGCTGACATAGCCCAGACTCACCATGCCTCCTGAGGTGCCCAGCTCCTGCCATGGCCTCACCTCCAACTGCCCTCACACACTGTTATCCCAGTCTCACTTTGAGGCAGTCAGAGATGGTGAAGCCAGAAGACCTGAGTTTGAATCCTGGTTCTGCTAGTAATTTGATCAACCTCATTAGAATTCTAAATAAAGATGGCCAAAAGCATATAAAAAATGTTCAATATCTCTTTTCATAAGGAAAATGCAAATCAAAACCACAGTCAGATACCAATAAACCACAGTCAGAATGGTTAAGATAAAAAAAATAGTAATAATATCAATAGTAAGTTTTGGTGAGGCTGTGATGAAAAGAGAATCCTCTTACATGGTTGATGAGAATGTAAATTAGTACAACCACTATGGAGAACAATATGGTGGTTCCTCAAAAACCTACTAATAGAACTACCTTATGACCCTGTAATTCCACTCCTAGGTATCTACCCAAAGAATAGGACTACACAAAGTTGGAAAATCTCCTGCATATTTATGTTTATTGTACCATTATTCACAATTGCTAAGACATGGAATCAACCCAAATGTCCAAGAGTAGACGAACGGATTGAAAGAAATGTATGTATTCTCTACGGAATATCGCTCAGCCATAAAGAACAATGAGACCCTGATGTTTGATACCAAGTAGACAAATATGGAGGATTAATGTTAAATGAAGCAAGCCAGACTATGAAAGAGAGGCATTGTATGTCCCCACTTAATATATACTGAATGTCTTCACTCTGTGGCAGAAAATTAAAGACTGGAATGGAAGGTTTAACAGGGTTGGGAGACAGAGACTGTAGATACTAGAAACAGTATAGGAGTGGGTGGGTAGTGGGGGGTGGGAGGAGGGAATCAGAGGAAGAAAGAACATCTAATAAATACAAAAATGAAAAGGTATCCATTGATGATAATGTGTATGGTAATGCATTGTACCCATGTTGGGAAGAATCATTATGTATGCTGTGAGGATGTACAGTGATTAAACGTAAAAAAAAAAAAATTAAATTTTTTAAAAAGGAATTACAAATAGCAGTCAAATGGCCATTACTTGTCATTGCTGCTGTTGTTAGAAGTTGGCTTTGCATCATTAGCACTATCTCTAGCTGTTTGATACTCGGTCCTGGTGGTACACACACACACACACAGACAACCACAGTACTTGGCCATTCTGGTCCAGGACTTCAAGGGAAGAAACATTTAACAGACACAAGAGTGTAAAGTTCTCTATTGAAAATGATGTATTACTATATGGCATGGTCATATCCTTGATTTGATTGTCACATAGTGCATGCATACTTTGAAAAACTACATTGCATGCTAAAGAGATATGCAATGATCAAATGTAAATAAGAAATTATAATTTTTTTTAAATGGGAAAAAATTTTAAAAAGGATTCTGTCTCAGCTCTGCAGAAGAGACAAAGCCCCTCCTTGGACCCCTCTTCCTTACCTGCTACCATGTGACCCTCCCAGCCCCACAATGGCCTCATATCACTGCAAGTCTGTGGAAGTTGGGAGATGGTGCCATGGCCTCACTTATACCTATGAGAGAGAGAGCCATTCTACCCCAGTTGCAGCATCCCCCCAAGGCCAGTTCTTGAGTGGCCCCGCAGCGCTCACCTGGCTGTGCACTTTCTCCAGTTCCTCCTTGCTGACTGATGTCTTGCTGTCCTCCATGGTCCCCAGCAGGAGCTGCACATCTGACAAGAGTGCATGGGTCCTCCTGAGGTCCCTCCGGAGACGCTTCTCTACATCAAAGTCCCGATGGCCAATCTGGAAGTCAAAGGAAGGCCCATGAGCCTAGATGGCAAAGCAGTGGCCATGATCCAAGTTCTCTGGAATAAGGATGCATGGGTTTGAATCCTGTTTCTGCCACTTCCCACTTGGGCAAGACCCTTCTCCTCCCTGAGCTTCAGTTTTCTCATCTACAAAGTGGAACAGGCATCAACACAGGCTGCTGTGAAAATTAAATACTGGCTTAGCCTCATGCTCGACACAGAGTAAATGTACAATACATATAAATTGCTGTCATTTCTGTTGTCATAGTCTGTAGGGATCCAAAGCCATTCCATTTTATCTAGTGCAACTAAGTGTGACTTCATCTCATAAGAGTGCACGTGCCAGGTGAGACCCTCTGCCCCTGACCAGATGCTGCTGATAGAAACCAGGACAGCCATCGGTAGGCAGTGACAAGACAAGGAATAATAGGGGATTTCTGGGGGTGATGAATGGTATTGAGCTGGGGTGGTGTTTGATGTGTTTATGAAAATTCACTGGGCTATGCTATGGTGTGTTTTTCTACACATATGTTACACTTTAGGCTGTACATGTGGGACACAGTTTGCCTCTCTGCACATATGTCAGTAAGCAGGAAATCTGTCCCCTTGGAAGTTCTAAATCAAGATTTTGGCTTTTGTTCCTTGGGCCAGTCCCCTCTGTCAAGTCTAAAGACAGGCAGAGAAGACGATTTTCAGCAGAAGAACTTTCCCAGAGGTTAGCACATTCCTTCTCCCTAAATCCTCAGTTTGCAGGGGACAGTTGTCAAGTGGGTCCTGAAGGAGCCACATCCTGGACTCAGCACTGGAAGGGCCACCTTTAGACTCCTTGACAACTCCCAGTAGTCAAAGATAAAGGCTAGCATGAAGCAGAGGAGGTATAGAATTATACCAGAGCCCCATATGAAATTCCAGCAGCACCCAGGCTCCTCTAGAAATAGTGCTGACTAGGGGTCAGCAGGTGGCATGGCAGTGGAGGCGCTGGACTCCCACATAGCCAACTGTGGTTTGAGTCCCAGACCCGAAAGCTTATAAACCCTGCTGGACACATGTGCGTACGTGCCCCAAATCATGAGAGAATGGAGGAGAAGGGATTGTGGCACGGCCATCCCTCCTAGGGAGTGATTTCTCATTTTCCTTCTCACTGAATGTCTCTCTCTGTCTCTCTCCAGCAAGTGGTGCATGTGCCCTATTGCAAAACAAAAAAGAAAAAAAGAAAGAGAAAAAAAAAAAAGGAAAAGAAAAGAAAAAAGAAAGGAGAAAAAAAGAAAGGAAAAGGAAAGAGAGGGGAAATGTATAGAGGCTTAGCATCCCTGAAAGAAACTAGCAACCTTTTCTTGGATAGACTCTTTAGGAGACCAGAGGAAAGAATGTGGGACCATCAAACAAATGGAGAGTGTTTTTTCAAAACTGGAGCGCAAATGCTTTAACATGGGGACTTATTTTCTGTACATCTGAAATCTGTGCTTCTGTGCCAAATGCTAACTAATTTATGAGACACCCAGAATGTCCAGGAATATTTTAGGAAGAACATGGATTTGAGAAAGAGCTGGCCCAGGCTTGCAACCCTGACTCGCCATTTTCTGGCAGTGAGAACCTGGGCTGAGTCTTTACACCTCTCTGAACCTGAGTTTCCTTGTCTATAAAAAGAGATGGTAAAAAAAAAAAAAAAAAAAAAAAAGTCCCTGTTCTCCCGGCTGAGATCAGACAAGGATCAGATGTGATCATGGATCGCTAAGCACTTTGTATGCTGTCAAGTGTTTTACAAATATAAAGGATTATGAGTACTGTCTGATGACCTGGAATATGTTTCTCTAGATTTTGTATCACTATTTTCTCTACTGCTGGTTTTGAACTCTTTGAAAAATGAGTTGGTTCTTAGAATATAGCTTCGTTTTTCCTGAGACGTATCACGTTGGTAAGTTTAAAATGGAGAACGTACACCTCATTTTTTTTTCTGAGGGCTGGGCATTAGGCCAGGTCTTTTGTCACATGCTATTGCCTTTAACTCCTGTGACAATCTCTTAAAAATAGGCATTATTATTATGACCTTTATAAGAGTAGTAATCACATTTACAGATAATGTCCTAAGTGTCGTATAGTATTCTAAACACTGTGTATATTAACACACGCAGTCATGATGAATCTCTGAGGTGTGCAGTGTTATCCCTCTCACTTTACAGGTGATAAAACTGATGCTTACAGAGGTGACATGACTTGCTCAAGATCACACCGCTGGTAAAAAAGCAGTGTTGGGAAATAAACTCAGCTTTCCTGGCGGAAAGAGGTTGTTCTAGTAATCTATCATTAGAGAGGTATGTTTTGCTGCTTCAATAGGTCTTGTGAAGGTGCAGAGGGGCATTACACAACTCAGTCTGGCATGAGCTGGGGAGGAGGACCCAGCTACTCCCCCCAGTGGGAGAGGGATAGGAAGAAGGTAGAAGGCACCATATGAGCAAAGACAGAGAAGCAAAAAGCAATTGATATGTGCACTCCTGGGAGGTTGGCATGATGGCATGAAATCCTGGGATCGGGGCAGGCCTACAACATGGGAAAAGTTACTCCAGACAAAACATGCACTGTCATGGAGAAATGGAAGTGCAGCTGCCAGAACTGCTACTAAGGGGGATCTTGATCTGCCCAGGGTTGCACTGCCACTAAATGGCTATGCAGGGATTTGAACTCAGGCAGCTCAGCATTTGAGTGTAAGTCTCTAACCACTGTCCCACAATGCACCTGAACCCAGAGGGACTCATCTTAGAGCTCATATTTGTACAACAATTGCACTTACACAGACTTCTTCATGCAGTTCTTATTTTTGTGTCTGCATTTACCCTGCACACATCCTAAAGTGCCTTTAATTCCCTGTGGGGAAAGGTGGCATCAGGGACAGTCTCTGACACTGGCATTGATCCCTCCACAGGGACAGCTCAGATCCTACCACATACACTGCCAGAAAACCCCTGAAAGTGCTGGCACCATTTCTCTCACAGAGGGAGCATTGCATGCAAAATTCACAAGATCTCAGACCAAGTCATCCTCTCTTCATAATGAATTGCTACAGGAGAGGAACGGGGGAAAATACCTCATTAGGTTAATGGGAGATAGATGTCGTTGTGCAAGTTCCCATTTTGTAGCACAAAGATTCAAACTTGGATAAAGAGGTTAAATAATTAACCAATAAATCTAAATGATGTTTAGTGTTGTTGTGGGAAGCCATTTTCAAACCTCAATTGCTTCATCATTTACCATAAAGACAAGTCCTCTGGGGGAGGCTGTTAAATGTCTATGGTCAAAGGACTCTTCAAGTACTATTCAAATATAATCTGTAGGGGCCAGCAGGTGGCATGGTGGTTGAGGCGCTGGACTCCTACAGGATCAACTGTGGTTCAAGTCCTAGACCCGGCAGCTTGAAAATCATGCAGGGCACATGTGCATGCATGTCCAAAATCCCACAAGTAGAGAATGGAGGAAAATGGATTGCTGCATGGTCATGTCCCCTGAGAAGGTGATTTCTCACTTTTCCTATCTGTCTCTCTCTGTTGAGCACACAAACCCTATGTCAAAAACTAAAAACAAACAAACAAAAACCAAATTTACACACACACACACACACACACACACACACACACACATTTTAAGATAATCAAGTCACTTTACAGATGAGAAATTGAGGCTTGGATAAAGAATTGAGCTACTGAAGGCTGCATAGAAAATCTATGGCATAACTGTGCTGGCTGATTACACGATGCAAAAATGTAGTCCACTAAAGCATGGATCTCATTAATTGGACTTTAAAAAATTATTTCATAAATAGTTGGAAACTCATTTTAAGAGGTTAGTATAACATTGGCCAAACTCAGTACAAGGAAAGATCACTATAAATCAATCTTACCCATGAGTCTGGTTTCAAAACACTTGAATAATGTGTTAGAAATTCAATAGGGCAGTGTATTTTAAAAAAAAAAACACATGACAGGGATCAGCAAATGGTATAATGGTTACATCACTAGACTCCCATGTGGCTGACTATGGTTCAAGCCTTAGACTCGAAGGCTTGGAACTCATGCTGGGTGTGTGAGTGTGCCCAAAATTCCCAAGAGGAGAATGGAGGAGAAGGGATTGCAGCATGGCCATTACCCATGGGGGACTATTTCTTACTTTCTGTCTTTCTGTTTCTGTCTCTTTGGTGAATACATGTACCCTATAGCAAAAATCTCTCTCTAAAAAAACCCAGCAAGCTCTGGTCAATCTTTAAAAAATAAATAAATAAAACACATGACTATGATCTATCTAGGAAATGCATAAGAATATATTGTAATATCTAAAACATAATATACCACACTAATAAATTAATGAGGCAAATCATGGGATTATTAACAACTACATGAAAAGTAGAAGATATTATTCAACAATCAAGCATTATTATTTACAATATTAGAAAACTACAAAAAGAAGAAGCCTGATTTATACTTTAAATATGTACATGATGAAATTTTAAAATACTCATGTTAAGGCCAAAAAAAAGGAAAGGATGTCAAATGTCTCCTCTGCCATTCAGTCTTACATGGGAGGTTCAAGCCAATGAAATAAGACATGAAAAATAAATATCAGGTAGAATGTGTAACATTTTCTTTCTTAACCAAAACTATTTTTATTTTCAAATGGCAAAATTGTCAATATAGAAAATCCCAAAGAGTCTCTAGATGGAATATTAAAAAATAGTGAGTTACAATGTTCAAAATAAAACATGTCAATTGTTCCTAGGTGACTAGTCAATCAATGTATTCCCAATGAAAAGCACATCAGGTCTGGTTTTGGAATCTTGATAAAGATGATTAAACGATCAAGAAGGCAAGGTGATTTTAAACACAAGCAAGGTAAACCATCCTAGCAGTTACCAAACCCAGACATTAAAACCATATGTGCAGCCTTTATAGTAAAAACTGAAAAATTAGAAGATATAATACCAGGGAGGGTAACTGTAGATACTAGAGA